AGACTGAAGTCTTTCTTACTAGACTTAGCATAAGAAAAGATCATCGCAATTTTGTAAGATATATCAAAGAAAATGAATTTTCAGTTAGCTTGTTTAATTCAAATGAGGAGTTTGCGAAACATAAATTGCACAGGATATTAGCACTGTGTTAATCCAATAAATGTCTCCTAACCAAAATACATTTTGTTCCCCAATACTCAACAGGACACTTTCCTATTCAACGTTTATGGGCAAATTTCTCGAATTGTGGATGATATGTCAGCAGAGAATTATGGGAGTAATTCTTCCCGTAATGAAATTTGACAAGTTTAGACGCTAAGTAAATTAATGCTCAAAATCAATAATCATAAACATTTGCCCAGTGTTATGTTAGGATCATTTCCACGTTATGTTATCCCCATTAAAATCAAGCTGCAGTTTCTATGGTGATCTGAAGTTTCGTTAATTCTTGAAAAAATAACCTTGTTCAGGAGAGTGCACAGATCCCGCCTCCAAATGTACTCAATAAAACCCAAAAAACTAAAGGGATATATTAATTGGAATATGTATTTAACAAGTTATTTGTTAATGAAATCATTAGATGTTCAGTCAAATCTGTATACAAGTTGTTAGATGTCCGTTTAATTGTACAAGAAATGTTAGATTTTCTTTAAATTGTAAAAAAGATATTAATGAATGATTAAATAAGTAAAGTTTGATGTGACGGATTACTTCATTAGGCCTAGTCTAGGAGAGAGGTAAGGTCAAATCTGTTTACAAGTTGTTAGACATCCTTTTAATTGTACAAGAAATGTTAGATTTTCTTTAAATTGTATAGGAATGATTAAAAAAAATATTGTTTGATGTGATTGATTAATGTGTGATATATTGAGAAAAATATGTGACATAATTGTTAAATTTAACTATAGCTGCACAGCACTTGATAGCTGCATGTTAAAAGCCTACAAGAAAACTTTGCAGATTACTCTAACAACCGGTGTTTATTTTTTTGTGAATAATTGATGTAAGCAAAAAACACTCGTGATTAATTGTTAAATCATATGTTGTTGAAGAGTAGAGAAAATTGCCTACAAAAATCTATATACACTATTCCCTCTTACAAATGAAGGTGAATATTTGACTTGTTGAAGAAAGCCACCCACCTAACGGGTTGTACGATAGAGAGTCGATCGTTAGGGTCGTAATTAGTGGGTCTAGGCATCCAATCAAATGTCAGCTGCCAGTTAAATTTGCCCACAAAAATATTTTTAGCGGGTGTGCCTCTCAATGTGAGATCGTCATCCTTTATAGTTTCTATGACGGGCGTGACGACATGGTGCTTTCCTTCCCCAATCCTCGCGAGCAATGGTTCAAGCCATCCTGTACTCAGCGAAAAACAAGAAATATTACAGTCAATAATTTAACAAAATTGGTCTTGATTTGCTGGAGTCCAGTGACTGGAAATAAATACTCTTTCAAAAAAGACCTTCTTTTTTGACAATTATATTTTTTAAAAAAACTGAAAAAATTCTTAAATGCTTGGTGTAGACCAGTGTATTCTATGAAGTTTTAAAAGCAAGTTATCTGACAACTGAACTGATCATTACTTCTCCACAAATTTATGGAATACACATTCCACTGATGCCTGGTAATGAGAAAGTTAACCAAAGAAATAAAACAGCTGACAAGAATGCTAAAACAAAACTCGCTGAACAAAACTGAAAAAACTGATCAGCTGTTGAAAATTTAATATGTAAGACCCTCATTAACAAAGTACTTGAAGGAATCAATTTTTAATACAGATAGTCCCCACTTCCTCTTCACTGACACGATAATCATTTTTCTGATAGCAAGGGTTTTCTCTAAGACAATGCTAAACAGTCAACAAGCACAGCTGTCCAGTGACATGACTTATTGATAAACTTGGGGGGCCCAATCAATTTACTGTCCACAGAACCCTCAAGATAAAAAAAAAAGTCTCCCATTGAAATTCTAATATGAATGGACAACAAGACCAGAATGTTCCAAATATTATAATCCATATACCAGTGCTGATCAAAGGGAAAAAGTAATTTGGTGCATAATAGATAGTGTAAAAACAGTTAAGCAGTATATATATCATGTATACTATATTTTTGTATCAAGACAGTGGTAGATTACAAGATGTGGAACATTTTTGAAATGGACTTGTGATATATAGGAATACAAGCCATATCTCTTAGTCTAATAAATATTTATGACCATATATAAAGAGGATATGGACATATCTATGTAGAGATAAATAAAAAAAATAATGCTTAAAAACTTGAAGATGAATAACTTGAAAATATTAATGGGGGGTAGACTGACAAAATATTGATAATTTTATCCCCTCTTAGCAGGTTTCTACAATATGTATTCTTGAGACCAGAGTGAGAACCAAAGATATACATGTATATATAGAATAATATGATATAACCCTCTTGTATGGACCATCTGTAAAATACCTAAGCGCAGTGGTTTTGTTGCGGACACTGTAATTATTGTGGGATTTCACTTTCTTCCATCTGAATATAAGATTCCAGTCAAATCCCCCCACAGAAGTTGCGGTACCAGAGAAGTATTGTAATGTTTCAGCAGAAATGCTGTCAATATCAGGACAAACAACATTTCTTTTGTTGGCTGCAATGCGGTCCAGAAGGGGTTCTAGCCAGCCTGTATGAAAATTGGCGACTTCCTTTTATTAGTCTGTACCATATTTTAATTTTGTAACAAAATATGTCATATAGCCTAAGCCAGTCTAAACCATATAGATAATTTTTTGGCTTTGTTTTCAAGTTGTAAGAATTTGTGTACTACCCTTATCTGATCAAAGAAAAACAAATAATCAATGATTTGATCTAGGAATTTGAATTTTAAATTGCCTTAAATATTCAAATAAAGCAATATTTGAAATACACATATACTGATATTCAGTCCTCAAATAACAGTTTGGCTGAACAGAAATATTTTGTCTAGTCCAGATTCTGTATTTGTCCTTTTGTAATATTGTCAATGATCTCATTGAATATCCCACTTAATTAATATCCAGTGAACTTACAGTGATGAAAACTACCAAAATAGTAAGTTAGAATGTAATATTACTGTAGCTCTGGCAAGTGAATGTGATTCAAAGTCATTAAGCAAAATTAAAACAGGATCTTAGACTTAGGAAATTAAGTAGAACTAGCATGGGATTCTACAGGTAAAAACATTCTAGGCAAAATCTCAACAGACAGACACACAGCCAACTATAACATGGTAAGTCTGGCAGCAATCAAGATTTCACTGGCACAACATTGCCCGAGTGATTTCTAGCTGGTTAGGCAAAATTCGGCTTTGGAAGGAGAAAAAAAAACGTGTTTTAGTTAGGCATCAAGTGTAGCAGATATGCATGATAGAAAGTTTGTCTGGCAGATGGAAGTTGAAGAAGTGAATCCTAAACAAAGAAACTGGGGCACATGTGCCCCCAAATCTACGAATCTGACACCAACCTAACTGGGTCAACATTAGTTTTCATTTTGTCCTTCGTATAGGATGGGATTGGCATCCAATTGAATGTCAGATCCCAGTCAAACTTTCCCACATGAATCTGATCAGGGCTAAACCAGGCAAACTGTAGCGTGTCATCGTTAATGTTGTCTATAACTGGTGCGACCACATGGCGTTTGTCCTCTGCAATACGACCCAGCAAGGGTTCAAGCCAGCCTGCCAATAGAACAGGGAACATAATCAACCTGATTTCTTTTGGACTTGAAAGGTTAATGAGCCCTGTTCCTCACTTCCTGACACGTTGATTAGTCATCTCCTGGAAGCTCAAACGCTTCAAAATACATGCAGGTTGGCTTAATCAATGGATCCTTTAGTATCCATGTACTGCAACAAAAAGGGGAGGGGGAGGTGTTTCTCTAAGAAACATACTCTGGTCCCTCTTTTTGTATGAACCTTTTTCTGTGTGTTTGAGGCCACTGGCTGTGTTTTACTAGATGTTGTGACGATTAAAATGAGATGTTTTTAAACTATTAATGTCATGAAATCAATTTCAGGATTCCGTAAGATATATTTTATGCACTACAAAGCAATATGATATATTGAAGACATTTTGTTAATGTGTGATTTAACTGATATAGAAAAAGAGTTCAAAATACAATGTAATGAGAAAAGATCCGTTAGAATTTCAGTGTTAATAGTATAATGAAGTCTTAATTGGGAAAAATGAAAGTGCCAGTTGTATGAAGATTTCGATTAAACCTTAAATTGTCGCACTTCTTTCAGAACTCAATGTTAAGGACACTACTGGTTTTATTAAGAGGCTTTAACTGTTACATAAAATACATCAAGATGCAGATCAAAAATTTATTAAGGAGAGGGTGCATGAGTATTCATTTTCATGACTTTAATAATAAAATTTAATACTCCTACTCCTAGATATTTTGATTTGTTCAACACTATTGAGTCCAAAATCAATTTAATAAAATGTGTAGGATATAACATCATGAATATTCATAATGAATCAAATATATACGATACATATACAATAAAAAGGAACATCTGAAATTCTTTTTTCTTAATAAAAGTAAAAGCAAAAAATCCAAAGTGATTAAAGTCTTTTAAAATTGAAATAACAGATATATATACATGTATATATGTATAAGCAGAGACCATTTTTTGTCTCCAAAGCTTTTAAGGTTTTTTAGTCAGAATTTCATTAAAAAAAAATTAAGTGGAAGAGAGCTTCCCCTGCAAAACAGCTCTTTGAAATATATATCATGCTTGTTAATAATTAACAATTACTGCATCTATATTTACATTGCAAATATTCATCCCCATGCAGTTAAAAATAGGACATTCAAATTTACAGGCCAAACATTCAGTCATGCATGCAGCATTTAGACTTATGGAAGTGCAACAATTTATACATTGTCTCTGATTAGGGAACTGCCTAACATCAAAGCCTACACAACACAGACACCATGGACATATCGTGCAGCGTGGCCAAATACCTGACAGGGAGATAGTCTTTGTACTCTCTGCGTTTGCGCTCGTAATCGGGGATAGCATGCCAATTAAACTGCATGTTCCAATCAAAACCCCCGATACTTGTTGCCCTGGCATTGCCATACTGATATTTGAATGAGTCGTCTTCAATGACATCAATTACGGGGCAAACAACAATGGTTTTATCTTTAGCGATACGATCAAGGAGCGGCTCAAGCCAACCTATAAAGGGCACACAACTCTGGTTAGAATCCATCAGACACAATATCACTTAAGTCGAAAGAGGAGTTCAGATAATTCCCTTTGAGGAATTACTGGAATTTTAAAAGTTAATGATATAAATGAGCCTGTAAAAGATTCATTACAGAATATCATCTACTCGGTACACTGAAAAAACAACACCATCAATGTTATTATGTAAAATTAAAAAAATACTTTTTCATTAAAGTCCATTCAAATTGTATGATTCAAATCCCTTTAAACCAAATCAAGCAAATTTAAGAATCAACATCACATTGGTAATTTCAGATAAATAAAACTTTTCTTCATCAATTTATTAGATATTAGCAAGAAACTTTCAAAATGTGTTGTTTTCACACAATTCACGCGATGAAGAAACTATGATACAACCTTCTGCACATTCACAGTGGGAGTCCAGGTACGTCAGCACCTCTCCTGTTGCCACAGAGTAACCAAGGAGACGGGCTCGGATCAGACCCTCACGTTTCTTTGTTCTAACAACCTTGACCTTCTCAAGCTTGGCTATATAGTCCTCCAAGGGCTGCTTTAGATGATCTACACACAAGAAGAGAGTCCATGTAAGTTTTAATTTTTAAAACAATACGTTTTTGATTGCAGACTGTGTAACCAATGACCAATAGCTATGTTTTATGTTTTTAATTATCAAAATTAAGAAAAAAAATTCAATTAATTAATTGCATTCACTTAATCATTTAAAAAAACCTACAGACAACGTCAACTAAACATCTATATATATCTGCAGCATGACAGATAATAAATAATCTGAAATATATATATGATTATAATTTTAAATCTTGAAATTAACATCAAAACTGTCCTAGAGCCAAAAATAAAGAGACCATAGGCAAGGAAATGCCAAATTGATAAAGTTTTCCATGTGCTGATGGCTCTTGGATGATAAATATTTTGAATTCCCCCAATGTGTCAAATTAACATGCAAATTTTTGACAATTCATCAATATGACATTTGTGGTTGATCTGTGTACATGTTGGGGTTTGTAGAAATCAATTAAAAGTTGAATGTTTTGTCATGCCTGGCCTTTCCTTGTGGGAGTGGTAATCAATCAGTTCAGTTTTTCTTACATTATTGAAGCACTGGGCCTGACAGCAAGTCTTTTGACAGGTAATCCATTTTCGCATACTACCAAATGTTTAATTCAAGCAAATCATTTGAAACATTGAATCAAATACTATATGTTCAACCCAGTAAAAACCATCTTCATGATTTTCAATCTGGACCCCCCCCCCTCCCCCCCCCCCCAGCCCTCCCCTTTCAGTTGCAGTAATCTTGAGCTAATTTATGCTGAAAGTTTCATACTTCCCGTTCTGACACCAATATTGATATCATTTGAGTAATAACAGTTCCAAGTTACAGTGCACTTCAAAAATTCCACTATGTTGAAACTAAAAGTTTCGGTGTGAAACAATTGGCCCCACCTATACATTTATGTTTTAAGTATTGGGAAGTCCAAGAAAGGAAAAATAACGATGTAAATGAAACAAAAATAGAATATCATGACTTGTTTCAAACAATGGCATTGTCTTTTAAATCAATATGTTTAAAGATAGCATACTTATACATAGTTACGAATTTCTCATTTTGCTTTCTAATTTACTATATATATGCATGGCAAATACAAATTTACATGTATTATGTTGAAAAGTTTTTGAATTGTCAAGAAACATATTAATTAAGTGATGGTCAGATAAAGTTATTACTTAAAGTATCCACAATTTAATAAAATGGCATGCTGAATATAATAAGAGGCCCATGGGCCACATCACTCACCTGACCACTTTGGTTAAAGATAAACAATAATCAGTTCAATCAGTACTGAAGTTTAAATACATATGAAGTGGTCCCACTCTAATTGATGATTTGAACAAAGTTGCTTTCATATTAATATGACTAATCATGGCCTTGCTGTTCTTGAGAAGATTTCTAAAGATTTTTTTTCCTATACAATCCTATGTATAACTTTGATTGCCTAATGTGGCCCAATCCTAAGTCCAGGGGTCAGGATTTAAACAAACTTGAATCAATATTACCTGAAGATGCTTCTGTATGAATATGACTAATCATGGCTTTGCTGTTCTTGAGAAAATGATTTTTTAAGATATTTTCCATATATTCCTATGTACAACTTTGATCCACTGTTGTAGCCCTACCCTAGCCTATGGGGTGATGATTGGAACAAGCATGAATCTACATTAATGTGAGGATGTTTCTGTATTAATATTACTAATCATAGCTTTGATGGTAATCAGAAAATGATTTTTTATGATATTTTCCTCCACATTCCCAAGCATAATTTTGATTCCCTGTTGTGGCCCAACCCTACTCCTGGGGGTCATGGTTTGAACAAAGTTGAATGTACTATACCTAAGGATGCTTCTGTTTTAACATTACTAATCAAGACTTTGCTGTTCTTAAAAAGAAAATTTTTAATGATATTTCCTACATGTTCCTGTGTATAAATTTGATCCTCTATTGTGACCCTTCCCTATCCGAAGAAGGGTGTGTGTCATGATTTGAATCTGAACAAACTTGAATCTACACTATGTAATGAAGCTTTCACATAAGTTTTTACTTTTCTGGCCCACTGGTTTTCAAGAAGAATATTTTTAATCGATGTCATATAATTTTTACTAATTCTTAATTATCTCCCCTAGATTGGCCTAGAAAGAGGGTGTCGGCTCTTCATTTGAACATTTGAATCCCCTTCACCCAAAGATGCTTTAAGGCAAGGTTGATTAGAATTAATTGGCCAAGTGGATCTGGAGAAGAGGATGAAAATATGAAAAGTTAATGCAACGACAGACAACGGACAAATTTTGATCAAGTCACTTGAGCCTTCAGCTCAGGTAAGCTAACAAAGATATTTTTATCCACATTTATATCTTTTAAGATAGGATTACCCATGTCAGAGAAATCATCCACAAGTATAATCTCCTTCAGTAGGTGGGGTGGGGATCTATCAATGATGCTGTGAACGGTACGCAACAGAACGGACCAAGCCTCGTTGTGGAAGCACACTACCACGCTCGTATCGGGAAGGTTGTCACGGTACTTCAAGTCTTTACATCTACAATGAGTCACAAAGAACTGAAACAACAGCACCAATAAATGTATACAACAAAAGGTACAATTTGCATAAAGCAATAGTATGTACATTAATCAAAAAAATTTACTCAACAAATCTTACTATTAAAAAAAAGGATTCACTAAGGAAAGAAGTTTAAAAAAAAAGCAAAACATATTTGTGAAACACGATGCCCCGGTATGGCAGCTCATAGTCGAGGTGAAATTTTTAAAAAGAAGGTCAAACACCAGGGTGAAGGTCATGAGGTCAAATACATATGTATCTTGGTACCTAAAGAAAGGTCTTGTAACAAGGAATACACAGTAATATTTTATATTATAAAAACTTATGATGCTCACCAACCCATCAAGGTTTTACAAAGTTACATAACATCATGTACAAACAAGAGTTATGGAATATGTAAGGAAACTAATGATTGCATAAAAATCTGAAATAAATGAGTTCCATTTTGTTTTGGTTTTTATTTTGGTTAGCTGTGGTCTACTGAACAAGCTGAATTTCATCTTATCTGATATCTGCTGCCAGCAACAATAATAGAATTCACACCATATTCAACTCATACAATTAATGGTGTCTGTTCCTTTATATAGACTGGCAATCTATTTGTTGGACATTGCATTTCTGTGCAAATTAATCTTGATGAAATAATGCTTCATGCTTATAGCACTTTCTAGACAAAATGTAATATACTCAGTTCAGGGAAAACAGTGATTACCCTTTTATAGAAAATTCTGTATAACAGAAAGTTTCTTTTTGTCCTCTTATATAATTTTGACCTAACACCTGGCCACCACCTTTGACCTTTGACCCCTCCCTTTTGAAACTAGATAGCATAATTGCACACAATGTTCCCTATTGAGCAAAGTTCCAAGGATAGAAAATTCCAGTTTGTCCTAAATGATTTCTTTTCTATCCTTGCCTAAACATTAAAGCCATCTGACCCTAACCTCCAACCCCCTCCTCCTTGAAATGGATTGCTATTTTTTTTTTAAGAAACACCCCTCCCCCTCCTTTTTGAAATGGACGGCATAATTTTTTTTTTTTTAAAGAAACTGAGTGCATATTTCATTTTTATCCTGGTATGCTGTTTTGAGATAATTGTCAAACTTCCATCAGCAACATTTCCCCATCTAATCAGAAGTGAGTTGGACTTTTATCCTTAATGATGATCATTAGTTGAACTTTAAAAGACATCTCCGTGAAACTGATCTGACAGCTCCTTGGTAACTACTGTGAAGTGGCAAATTAAAAAGACTAGAAACATATTAGAATAGATCCTGTTACATAACATCAAGTCACCAAATAGTAGAACCAACCAGGGAGTCATAAACAGCATGTTTATTTCTGAGCCCTGCTTTCCCTGCTTATTATGGATATTGCTATTTTAGCTGGAAGGAAAACTACCCCCTTCATGCATCACACCCTTGTGTGTGATAAATTAAACAAAATATCAGTTTTCTACTCTCTATGGCTGTATTTAATTCCTCTGATTCACATAACTAATGGGGGAAAGTGCAATAAAATGAACTAGGAACAAAATTTTACTGAAATTAATTTCTGATAATGGAATTAAATTGGCATAGTAAGCTGATACTTTGAAACTTTAATGGTGCATACATAAAATTTGGGAAAATAGTTTGACAATTATTTTTTCAAATATGTAATAATGACTGTCATTTTATACTCCAATTTCAAGAAAGTTAAAATAATGGAAAACTAATTGAATATAAAACTCTCGTGAGTAAGCGACATTTCAATTTTATTGCATCAATATTTTCTGGAGATCATGTAGTAGACATATTTTTTTTTTTCAATTCATAATTCAATGCCCTTTTGTACTCATCCCTCTCCCCCTAAAAATTTTAAATGAAAACAGGTTTGGCCAATAGACAGGGGGCTTATCCACTTATAATTAATTTGCCCAATAGACAGGGGGCTTATCTACTTATAATTTAATTTGCTGTGTTGTTTAACTAAGCCAACAATGAAATTAATTTGAATGCCATTTTGTGAATTGTCACGCATTGAAACATACACAGAGAAACATGTTATTGTGACATGACAGAAATTTAAAAAAGAAAATTAACGATATAAGACAGCAAAAGATTCAAATGTTGAGTGTATTTTTTTGGTTTTAAAGCTTTAAAATGTAAATACAACATGTCTATTAAAGGAATTTTCTTAGTTTTGTGAGCCTTACTGTTGCGTAAATTACAAAACTTGCAAATAAGCATTATATGCCTATGTGACAAGTCTGTGTGATTTACACACCAAACTAAGGAAACATTCTTTATAATAAATGATATGATATCTTACTCAGGATCTCTGACATCAGGAAGAGATCGGTGGAGGGAGATCATGTCACTGGCATACTGGTTAAACGCATTCTTCTGCCAGCCTTCATCAAACTTTTTCTTGTCCTCTGGAGACAACTTGTCCTTGTCTATTACCACGGCTTTACCACCCTCACCTAAAATTTGATATACTCCACTTATTATAATATATAAATACAGTTGAACTTCAGTATCCTAAGCACTAATATCTCCAATACCATGGATATGTCAAAGTGATTTTGAAGTCCCATGCGCTTATTTCCTAAGAATTTCACCCTCAGGCTGGATATCTCGAATCCTTGGATATCTTGGAGATAAAGAGGTCTAACTGTGCTATGAAATAATAGCCCTCTTTCACTTAATATAATATCTGTTATCGCAATGATTTGCTTATTATAATGATTTTCTTTTTTCAAGAAAAAAGGCTTCAGCTCATTTACTTCCGTACATAGATAATGTTCATAATGCAAAAAATTTATGGTTATAAGATTTTCATGATGCATGTCAATTCAGAATTTAAAAGTCCCATGTTTATCTATGACTGTAAAAATTCTTCCATATATTTAAAAAAAAACTATCTTTTAGACACATTAAAATCTATAATCTACTGTAATTTTTTTTTTGAAAAATTAAAAAGATAAATGTTTACCTACATTATCAATCTAATTAGAATTAGATGCTGCAAATCAGCTACAATGTGAACACTTGTATATTACATGTGTTTAAAAATTAAATCTACATATAAAGATCACCAATTAAGAAAGGGTATCTGCAGTTCTCATCATTTAATTTGGTATAAACAAAGATATGATGAACTAAATAATCCCACATTCCTTAATTCCTATACTCCAGGAATGAGAATATCATACTTAACCTAAAAGAATGACGTGTTTTGTCTCACTGTTTCCATTAGCTAACATTGCATTCAAGATATCACTGTTGCTTTAAACAGGAAGACACTCTGTAGAAGATTTATGGGAGATAAGGAGGGGATGACAATACAAAGGCTTCCAAGCTTCAATCCCCCCCAGTTTAGTCTGTCATAGCAATACATCAAACCTCATTAATGCTGTCGACTTTTAGCCAAGCTTGCATCAAATAATCAAATAGATTTCAAAACTCATTAGAGGAAGGGGGAAAAAAGTTGAAATAACCAGCTTCTCTGTAAAATTCAATAACAACACAACAGCCTACAAGAGCTTTTATGATTTATCAAAACGAAAGAAATGACATGCATATTAGCAGTTTTTGCTATGATATTCTCTAGGGATCATACTCAAGTAGTATTGTGGACTCTTTTATCATTTGATCTTGCAAATTTTCATTCACTGTGCTTACCATGACTATACAGTGTAATGAATTTGAATTTTTCTACCAGATTTGTACCTTAACCAAAACATGTGAACCAAATTAGGAACTGTTAATGATGTTGGTTAATTTGGCCTTAATGCAGGAATTTTTCTCAGAAGGGCAACTAATATCTCACAAGCAGATCTCTAACACAGTTACCATCTTCTAAAAGAATCTTCATTAAAAAGCAATCTGAAAAAATGTACTTACCAATAATCAAGGTAAAGAAGTACATGTGCATATAATACTCAAGTCCCTACATATCCAGCAGATGCAGAATTATAGAATGCACCAACTTGTTATTAATTCATTTAAATCAGACATCATTTATCAATCTAACTACACAGGCGGGAAAAAAAGCATGATCTTGATATTATCATCTTGCATCCCCTTTTGTTAAATTGGTGAAGTTCTAGCACTTTTATTTTTTTGCCCTGCATCTTGACCCCCCAAAAAGGAAAGGTGGATAAAATTGAAGTTTTAGTGAGATTTGCCTAAATTACCTGGTGCATTTGGGTCTACAGGTGGCCTTTCTGGTAATGATTCTTTCTTTTTAAATCTCAGCGTATCATCTTTATTTTCCTCGACAGGTGCCCGCACCTTCTCCGCTTGTCTTAACTCACTCTCTCGTTTATCTGCTTGAATTCTATTGGCTAAGATCTGCTTCTCTTCTTCATGAATTTTTCGATCATGTCTTAAATTATCATGATTACCAAAATGTATATGATTATCTGGAGGGGGAACTATGTCCTTTTCCCGGTGGACTATTCCCCTCTCCTGACGTTTTTCAGCATCATTATCACTGTCAGTTAGTTTCCCTTGATATGTTGTAAATATCACAATTAAAAACCATAAGGCTGGAATTCCAATGATGAGTTTGAAAATGAGACCCCGTTTTCGTCGGAAGAGACTAGCCATTGTGTATGTCTTCGGTGAGATCTGTTCCTGTTAGATCAGGAGTTATTTCCCTTGTTCTTGGACTGTCAAGACATTATACATTCACTATCTGAAAAATATTGCAAATTAATTTAATTATTATTTTTTCTGCATCTATAGTACAGCTCTTACTTTTATATAACAATGCACTACCTTACGCAGTAATGGTGCATATTTTCATATTTGATTTTTCACTTTTCATGATTAAAAATTATCATTATAGGCACAATTTAAGTCCAGTACATATGCAGGGGAATTTTCCATTAAAAAGTGGAAATAAAACAAGAAATTTAATGCATTTTTCTTCTCCCATTATGCAAAAAAAAATTCATGTTCTTTATATCAGAGCTGTAGCTTCATAATATAAGGAACTAGAAATTGCAAGAGACATATGCTGGACAGCTTATTAATCAAATAAATTTCCACATGAAGCAATTCAAATTCTCACGTAAGACTTAAAGAACCCACTCCATGATTATATAATGCTACTTAGTGCAGAGTTTATTGAAATACATAGTAAAAATATTTAAGTAAGCATCAACGTAATAAAATTCTCTGCAAGTACGCTCAACACATCATATTAACTACGTTTAACTTATTCTAAATGTATACAATCAGGATTTGTACTTATAACCATGTTTACAGTGGATTTTCCCGTAAGTTTTTTAAAGTCCACTTTACCATGAATGGATTCACATTTTTGAATTTAATTAATGAATGAACATTAACCATTTGAATTCTTGCTTTAAAACCAGGATCATTAAAGTCAAGAAAATACTTATATAATCATAGTAATCGGTATACAGTGACGAAAATATTAAAATGAATGTCTCTGATTAAGATACAGCTTAATCAAAATTTAGAGAACCTTTGTTTATGTCAGATGTTAGATTCATAAACAAAAAAACAAAAAAAAACTAAAAAACATAAAATAAAAAACAATAGAAAGAAACTGACATATATTCAATTCAGACTAATTAGTAACATTTAAGTGATTTTCATTGTACATACCAGTTATTTAATTTAAAATTGTAACTGCATGAAGTAATTAATTTACATTTACATAAAATCCCCTGAATCAGTGTTAAATTGCATGACTTCAAGCATGCACGTGCATGGTCATTAACTACTGCGCAGGTTCAATGATATTGACAATTAACAGTACATAAATTCAAAGAATTCCTGCGGGTAAGTCAATTAATAGATCACTCTTTCAAGTCCAGATAACTTTTCCTGAAAACCCATTTTTTTTGCTTTAAGCTTCTGACTTCAGCTTGACTTTTCCATATCTCCATCCCCCCCCCCCCCTTTTCCACTTAGACAATACTGTATACCAACTTTCATTGAAATGCAACTACAAATTTCACAAGTTTTGTATTAGGATGTTCTTAATGAAGCACAGAATCACTTCTCATCGGGACTAAAAAATTATGTCTCGGAGAAAAGTCATACTTGGTAGACAAGGACTAACGACAAAATTGTGAGAGAAATTAAGTTGCCATGCTGGAAAACTGGTGTGAGCAAAAAGTTTAATAATTTTTCTTTTTAAAAATACTTTACAAAAACAATGTTGTTTTTAACAAACTAAAAGATTACCAGTTACGGTTTCAATGAATATTTATCACAATCCTGTGAATAATACTGATGGCCATTTTTCAAAACTGGTTAATGTATTGCATGAGGTTTGGGCATTAACTTTTATTGAGGCTATTGGATCTATATATATATAGCTACTTCTTCCATTATTATAGAAATGCTGTAATTATCCACAGTTGTGGGGGAACTCCCTAAGGTACATCCTCCAAATTTGGAATTAACGTTTGCCCTCGGGTTCAGGAGATAGCCTATTCAAAACTGCATTTACGTCAGTTTTGGATCTGACAAAGAATTGCAGAAGTGACGTGTGCATATACTGTTAACAATCTCTCACTTTGGTTTTCATGTTTTTGTAATGTCATTTAATTCTGCCAAACTTACAAATTAACTCAAAAAATATTTCAGACAATGTAGATCATCACAAAAGGACTTATAAATGAATTGAATTTAGGTTCCAAACCAATTTCTCTCCCTATATATAGATTCATTAAGTAAAAATAATTTAGCAAAAAATTATATTGCTGACTATATTGTTTTGAGAGTTGGATGTGGTAGCCTAGTCAGTTCATTATAAGCAGTCAATTTTTTTACTACAAAGAAACATCATCAGTGATACAGAGTTTAGTTTATTAAATAAACGCATGCTCTTCCTCTGAATTTGAGGTCCACCATATGTGACATAACAAATACAGCATATTTATACTGTATCAACTGACAAATCTCATGACAAGATATTTGAATAATGCAAAGATAATTGTCTGCAAATTAAAAAAAGCTAGTTTAGGTACATAACTGCAGCTCACAAATGTCTAAAGTGATGCTAACAAGATTTATGAAAATTAATTTTTTCCTGCAAAAATTAGTCAGTTGTGCACATTTAAAACCACAATGCCTGACTGTACATTAGCATTTCCATTTGTAAAAGTCATGTAAATTTTAAGATTTATTCACTAATCTGCAAACCCTGGTGATTTTGGTTTCCTTTATTAGCTGGGGTGACCCACCTACAACGAAAACCTCAACCAATAAAGTCCAAGATTATGGCCAGATTCATTAAAAAATACCATCCTAATATTAGCCTGTTCATGAATCTCAAAAGTACAATGAAGGCAAGAAAAAAATAAGCAGAGGGGTGTAATTGCTATAGATGTAAATACAGGACCAGGTATTGAATGCAGATGCAGAAATATTTTTATTAAATGCATGGTTGCAGCATTTCAGAATAGCCACCATTGCTGGAGCTCTCCTGTTTAACATGGTAAGAAGGTACATCAAGTGGGAATCTAGGAAATCTTAAAATGATTCTCCTCTTAATTTTCTGACATAAAATATTTTTTTGAACTCAAAGGTAACAATATTTTTATACCCCAAAAATAAGTTTTTGCAAACACTTTTTTCAGCAAAACATAACATACTTTTCATTAATGATAATATTATAAAGTACTGTGTCAATGCCCCTTAAATGTGTTATAAACACTAGAATCAAGTCAATGACCCCTGATTTTAAGGATAATCAAGAGACACAAATTAATTAATACAGACTACAATGGTGCAAGGACTTGGGATTCAATCTTATATACATGTAAGCAACATTCAATCAACAGATGGACAGGCTACAAAAAGTCAAGACTGGAGTCTCTTGCAGATTTTTTTTTCAGCTAAGGCAGTGAAACTGGAAGCAATAATTAGGCAGTATTAAAAAAAACTTTAGGTACCAAAAGATAAACAGGATTAATTTTACAGCATACTGACAATTGAATGAAAACTAAGTCTGAACTTTGATATTTCAAATCATTCTGGGTTACCTCCAAGTTTGTACCAAATCCATAATATTTTGTATTAATCTAGTTTTATAAAAGTAAGCTTTATAAAAGCTTTATATATCTATAGGTAAAATAAGCTATATTATTATTAGGTATCAATAAGACTATATGTTGCTGAGCCATTTTTCTCTGAAGATTCATCAAATACTGGCCACCATATCTCCTTATAATCACTGAGACCAATACAGTAAAACTTGCTTATGAGGAAGTGACACCAGGTACTTATAAATACTTATTTCCTAATATATATATATATATATATATATATATATATATATATATATATATATATATATATATATATATATATATATATATATATATATATATATATATAACCTAAATTCTTTTTATCTATATAAGAAAATGTTAAAATGTGTGGGATGGAAATTATATATATATATATATATATATATATATATATATATATATATATATATATATATATATATATATATATATATATATATATATATATATATATATATATATAAAACTTCCTTATAAACAAAATTTACTGATATCCGAGTTCCTATATAAGCAAGTTTTACTGTACAAAGGAAACTGATGAATATATGTACCACCGCAAAGAATTATCTGCCAGAAAATGGTCCTGACTATCGCACTAATTAACACATTCAGGACGTGTCATCAATGATCATATCCTTCACCTTATTTTCTTCTTAATCATGTTAATTAATGGCAAATAACTTTGCTAACAATGATTAAACACTGAACCTATTAATAGCAAAAGCTTCTCCAAGATCATGACATTTATTGTTGAAAACTGAATATATAATTCTATTTCTTATTGACAAAACCTTTTGATATGCAGAAAAAATATATTAAATGAATTTAAATTAAATGAAATTTAATTATTTATAATCTTCTTCTTTGCGTTATTTTATTAATACTTCAACAAGTTAAAGTCAGTGTTAATACAAAAAATACTTTTTACAATATAATTTGAAACTCACACATATAAAAAAAATTAAATCTCTTGACATTCAAAAAAGTTTTTAATTAATTACATGTACACCATCAAGAACTTACCTTTTTCAAAAGGACCAATAATAAAATCCTTGTAATCAATATAAATTATCCAAGAATTTTTTTATTCAAAATGCCTCTCACTACAAGACAATTCAATGAAAATTAGCACCTATTAAAATGACTGTCTCCAAACTCCCTAGACTCTGAGCTGTGATATCACCAATTACGATATAATTTATGCAAACTACAGAAAGCCACTCTTTTTGGTAGGTGACACAATTTGCTTACCGCAACATTGTAACAAAAGATTAATTAACATACAAGACTGTCATCATTTTTATTAAAAACTGGCTGCATGCATAGAAACTTATATACTTCATAGTCATTAACATGATCTTGCCATTTTGTGCCTGTTTTCACATTATGAATGTTTTACCTGCCCAAAAATTCAACTCCTGACCTTTATAAATGCTAAAGAACTCTTTCTTAATTCAGAAATTGCATTTTTTTAAAAACAGAATTTCATTTCAAATAGGTTTACTTTACAATTTAAGCAGCAATTAATGTTTGTTTTTTTCAGATCATTTACTAATGTCCTCAGGCTGGGTGCCTTTAAAGGGTACCCCTGATTTTATCCATGTTCTGGGCATCTGAATTT